TTGTCTTAGCAACAGTGGAAGGTGCTGCTCTCTGGACATGTCCATACCAGCGGAACTGGCCTTCTCTCATCTTCTCTGTAATTGGTGCCACACCAAAATGCTGTTGCATTTGTGATGTGGTCAAGAAGGGAGATGTTTGCTATCCAATGGAGCATTCGCATTTCCATGGCATGGAGATAGCTTTCGGTCCCTGTTGTTGCTGCCCAGGATTCAGTGCTATACAGTGCAATAGGGCAGATGGTTGCCTTGTAAATCTTAGATTTAAGACAAGTTGGCATTCGTCTGTCACATAAAACACCCATGAGTTATCACCAACGCATCCAGGCTGCATTCACCCTTGCTCGCACCTCGCCATTGATGTCACCATTGCCTTGGAGATGGGATCCCAGATACCGAAAAATATCCACCTTCTTTAGGTTTCTCGATTGATTTGAAGCATTTGAGGGGTGGTAACAGTCTCTAAGTACTCAGTTTTCTTGATGTTGAGGCAGAGTCCACAGTGGTTTAGATGATCATTCCATGTTTGGACTCGTTGCTGTAGTTCGTCTCTGGTGGTGGGAGCGAGCATAACATCAACATACAGCATAGTCCAGGGTGTGTTCTGCTGCAGGTCATGTGTGATGGTATCCATAACCAATATAAACAGAAGTAGTGACAGTGAAGAACAGTGTCTGAATATACAGGTACATGGAAATGCAAGAGTATGCTGGAGTGGACTAGATGATGTGCTAAAACCCAAAAAAGATCAAAATATGACTGATGGATCATCAGGACACGGAGTTCCATGATCAAGAACTACCCAAGAACAGTTAGACCCCTTCTCAAATTGTGTTCTGTGTATTGTGTATTGCACTTTATGACAAGATTGATTTATACCAGCTGTTCAGAGTTCAACACTTTAAAGGTACAGAATAAGAGATTAAGAGTTATGTGCATCTAATCTAGAAGTGAGTGAAGTATGTAAGAGTGTAATAGTGTATCTCACTATTTTATTGCTATTTGCTTGCTATTTTGTTTGCTATTTTTTCCCACATTGGGAAATCTTTGTGGAATCATGAAGCTACAAGATATCTTTTGGTAATTATCTAATTATTAATGTAGATCATCTCCCTGTTAAATTGTGATGAATTTAAAGCAATTAATGTTGGAGCAAAAAGGGAATATTTTTGTTTGGTGCTGAAAGGACAGCACCAATCTTCCTCATAGGTTGGATGGGAGAAGGAAACAGAAGTTGGCACAAGTCCTCTTAGTGTTTACATTAGAGTATAGTCTTAAAATACCCTCTAAATTTTGTTGTTTTCTAAATGTTTCTCTAGGCAACCTTTCACTTAACTTTAATCTAGAAGATATCATGAGCAGGTAATATCTCTCATATCCTGCACCATCTCCATTTCTCAAATGCTATTCTTCCCTCGACCATGTAAGAAGACAACCTTCACCACAATCATTGGGTATGTCATTCCACAGGAAGACATGTAGTTTAGTGAAGGCTGTCTTCTGGAGATGGTGCTGGATATGAGATCTTACCTACTCGTATCTTCTAGATTAAAGATAAGTGAAAGGTTGCTACAGAAACTACATTTAGAAAGCAACAAAATTCTGCCTCCGAAGAGGATGAGTTAAGAATACCCTGACATTTTAAGATATAATTACAGCTTGGCACTCTAGGGAAATTTGGATTGTTGATAATTATGCATGTCTGTTGTTACTTGGACGCTGCTTTTGTTCTGTAAAGCAAACATGCTATTATTTTTGGGTCAACAGCTATTTCTTCAACCAGCTTTAAAATACTTTCAAAAAATTACCTTGAGTATGTGCCTGCACATTATAATTACATTTATAATGGCATATATTCATTTGCATTTGTTTATTCTGATGTTTTTCAGGAGCAAAAACTACAGTTCTTTCTGCTTTTGTTAGGTCTATTTGTTCATGAGACCCATATGTTGAAATCGGTGAGTGTAAAATTTGGAACTTGGAATTTGAGCTCCATAATATTGCTAGAAACTGCCAGTTGATAATAGCTTTAAAAGAGTGTTGTCCTATTGCTGGCTAAAAAATTCTCTGCTATTATATCAACATTAAATGACTGTTGCATTCTTAACTATATTGGGTATTCTATAGGACTTGCAAATTATGACTGTGTATAACCTCTCAGATTATCTTGATGAACTGAGTGAAACTTATCTCATTAATATACTTCCAAGAATATGATCTTTAATGCTTGCATTTTAAACTATTTTGGGTTTCTATCATTCTATCTGTCTACAGTATCTACCTGTCCAGATCACTCCACTTCAGGATGGAGGCATCTTCACAATTTATGGACTGTAATCTACCATATTGATCAAAGGCAGGCTAATGGATAGGTAGACTTTTTTTTAGATCTAGGAGAGAATGACTGGTTCTAAGTTGCTCAGCCAATATCCATATGTCTCCCAGCTCCTAACTCACACACATGTGCACACCCATATGCACACATGTAATACAGGTAGTCCTAAACTTAAAACAGTTCATTTAGTGACAGTTCAAAGTTACAACAGCACTGAAAAAAGTGACTTATGTGTATGATGTTTTTCACATGATCATTGCAGCATCCCCATGATTACATGATCAAAATTCAGATGCTTGGCAACTAGTTCATATTTATGACATTTGTAGTGTCCTGGGGTCATGCTGATCACATTACCTTCTGACAAGCCAAGTCAATGGGGAATCCAGATTCACTTAACAACCAAGAAAAGTCATAAAATGGAGCAAGGCTTACTTAACAAATGTTTCACTTAGCAACATAAATTTTGGGCTCAATTGTGGTCGTAACTTGAGGACAACCTATAATTTACATTTAAATTCAATCTTTTAAAAAAATAGGAACTATTGCATTAGATGCAGGGAAATAATGGTGGATTGTTGTGATTTTAAAAAAAAATCCAATTCATATTGATTTGATTTGATTTCTATAGCTGCAGTGTACATCATAAAAACCTAAAACAACAATACAGTACAAACTTAAATATACATGGCCGCTGAGTATAATTATTGCCATAGATGTTAATATAACCAAGAAATGGAGTCCTTAACATATTCAGGGCTCCCTCCAGGCCCAAGCACATAACCATGTCTTCAGAAGAGTTAGGATCATCCTAATCTTTGAAGGGAGAATATTCCAGAGGGTAGGGGCTTTAGCAGAGTAGGTACATCTCCTAGTGCCCTAGTCCCTGCCAGCCGACATTCCTTGGCTGATGGGACTTATAACATGCCCAACCTGCATGAGTAGAAACATCTCTAGAATAGGCAGTCATTTAGATAGCCTGGTTCAAAGCCATGAAGGGCTTTAAAGATGACAACCAGCATTTTGAATTATACCCGGAAGCTCACTGGTAGCCAATGCAGCTCATGTAGCACGAGTGTTAAATATGTTGAATATCCAACACAATTTACCACCTGTGCAGTCACATTCTCCACCAGCTGAAGCTTCCGAATGCTCTTCAAGGGCAGCACCATGTAGAGTGCATTGCAGTAATTCAGATGAGAGGTCACAAGGGTATGTGTGAATATGAACAAAGCCTCCTGATCCAGGAACAGGCACAACTGGCTTACAACACTCTGTGCAAAGGCCCTCCTAGCCATAGCTGCCACCTTGCAGGAGCTGTGAGTCCAAAAGGATCTCCAGATTGCACATCAGGTCTATCTAGGGCAGGGTCACCCCTCCAGGACCATCTGTGAAAAAACCTTGTCACTAGAAGATGACAAATACTCAATGCCACTCAGTCTTACTTGGATTGAATCAAATTTATTGTGCTTCCTCCAGACAAGTGTAGCTTCCAGGCACTGGAACAGACATCCACAGCATCAATCAGGCAGGCCAGGATGGAGATGAAAAGCTTTATATCATCAGCATACTGATGATGTCTCATCCCAAACCACTAGATCACTTCACCCAGAAGCCTCATGTAGATGGTAAATAGAGAGAAGCCTGAGGCATCTTATTTATACCAACTAAAAACCAATCCTGGCAGGAAGAGGAAAACCAGCACAATTCAGTGTCACCCATTTTTAAATATGAAGATGCATCATTTGTACATTATCAAAAGCACATTTGTTTCAACCACGGTACTTGAAAATGTTTTGGCAAAAAGGAATTATGGAAGACTACATATTGTAAATAACTTTGTAACCATCTATTAATAATACACAAGGTGCAGGGTAAGCAAGCTAATGGTATTTCACCAAGGGCTTAGGAAATGCTTGTGGGTAGAGATTTTATAGTTGCCAAATTTTCGACATGTTAGTGTGGCATTGCGTAATGGAATCTCAATTATTTAAAGGCAAACAGCAGAGTTTCAGTTTTATAATCCATTCTAAATTGCGAAATAATAAGGTCTCTTAACCACCTACAGAATGCTTATCAGTCCCCATCTGGCACAGACTTAAATCTGCTGGCAGTATTCACACGACGTTTATCAGATGAATACTTTCCCTTTACAGTGACGTTGGACTCGAAACTCTGTCCACGGGGCACTTTTTTTTAAAAAAAAAAACTGTGTTCTAATCGCTACGTCTAACCTCCGTTCAAATTCCAATTCCACGCGATCGCTCCGCCCACAAAATAGCTCGGCGTCGCTTTTTCTCTCCCTTCCCTTCGCTGCTGCCCCGCCTTCTCCCGATCCTGTCTTTGGAGAAATCAACGGCTCGCCCAAGCTGCCACGTTTCCCTGCTGACGTTGCCCGGCCGGCTGAACCTGTCAGCCAATCGGTTACCAAAATCTCAAAGTTGAGTCAACCGGGAAACACGAAAGAAAGAGCTTTGATTACGCACGCGTCGACCCGCCCGTAGGTTTGCTGGGAAAGCGAGTTTTTTGGCGGACTCCGCTCCAAAGCAACCCGAAAGCTGTCGCGGGACTTGGGAACTCAATTCCCCAGCATTCCTTGCCAAGGATTCCCCACCGCCTCCTCACCATCATGTAAGACCCAGCCCTCCACCAGAGGCTTCTCCGTTTCCTGGTTCGGAGGTGGCAGCCATTTTGAGTTTTAGGTGCCAGAGCGGAGACGGCTGCAGTCGCCGCTTGTGTGGGGAGGGGTTGTCCCTGTTGGAAGGAGACGCCGCTGTTGCCCGTGTTGTCTGTCACCTTTGGGTGTTTGGTTGGCTAGGCAGTCCGACCGTCCCAGGAGCCGCCGGTGGTGGGTCTGACCGCCGCCTGCTCCGCGGAGAGAGCTCATTCTCTACAGGCCGTGGGGGCCCCCGCTGACATGTCCAGTATGAATCCCGAATAGTGAGTACTGGGTAGCGGCTTTCTGGTGTGCGCGGGGACAGAAGGGAGCGACAAGGTGGTGGAGGGAGCGGGAGACGGGGACGACGGGCGGGATGACATAAGTGGTGACGGGATGCAGCAATTGCCTCCTTGCCGAAGGAAAACAGGCAGGCAGAGGCGGCTCTGGGGCCAACAGTCCTGGGGAAAACAGGGGAGTCTGCCGTGGCTCTGGATGGATCTAGGATGGTTGCAACTAAACAGAACTGGTGGCTTTGGCTTGAGGATGTTTTCAAGGATGCCTTCCAAGATTAAACCCCCCCCCCCCCCTTTGAAAGATAGGGTTTGGCCCGAAACTTTTCTGTGAATCCTTTTTGTAAGGTGTAAATAATCATCTTAGCTTTGGGGGTGCCGGGGGTGGGGGTGGATCCCAGCCCTTCCGATAGCTAAACCGAGTCGGTTCATTATTTGGTGTATTCTGTAGCTGGGCAAGTGGGAATCTTGTTCTGTGTCTTCGTTGCTCTCGGAGAGCCGACGGTAGGTTCCCATCTACTTTTCTAACCACGGTTTAGGGAAGCAATCCGGGATCAAGATCGCAGCTTCCTGTTGTTAAAGCTGTTAAAGTGGGGAAGTGGTGTGCCAATAAAATAAAATAAAAAAACTCATCTAAGGTAACTTTTGTTAATAGAAGTATCTTAGGTTAAGTGAAGGGGGAAAGTGTGGATTCAACCAAGGAATTTGGGGAAATGTATACAAGGTTTGGGGGGTGTTTTTTTTTTTTTCATTTAATTCTCCCAACTATGAGGATGGATGTACTGGAAGATAATCCAAGGTCATTTACTAAATGATGATTGTGATACTTCAGTGTGATTTTTTTTTCATTTAACCTGTTCAATTCACCTTGTCTTAAATAGGTGACCATTTAACATGCATACATATGCTCTCCATTGGCTTATAGATTTTATTTTTTAAAAATTTGATTTATATGCCGCCCTTCTCCGGAGACTCAGGGCGACTTACAATGCGTTAAGCAATAGCCTTCATACTTTTGTATATTTTATACAAAGTCATCTTATTTCCCCCACAATCTGGGTCCTCATTTTACCTACCTTAGAAAGGATGGAAGGCTGAGTCAACCTTGAGCCTGGTGAGATTTGAACTTGCAGTAATTGCAGGCAGCTGGTGTTAACAGTGATTTAGTCTGCTGCGCCACCAGGGCTCTACCTTAGAAGTCTTTCTCTAATGGTTGTCCTGTTCTCTTTACATGCACTTTTTTTTCTAGTTTGCTTAGGTGGGCAGCCTTGACTAAAAAGCTGTATTTTTAGTGGGGTGGGTGACAGTGGGCTTCAGGGAAATTTCAGTTGCTTTCAGTTGCTTTAACTATGATACGACTGCAGTAGAGCTTAGTTTTCATTTGTTCCCCACAATTAATGGCAGTTAATTGTACCATTGAGGGCCCACAATCAGGGCCAGAGGCATTGCCAAGAATATACAAAGGGGGATTTAATGTTGACAGTTGCCTGCCTCTGTATATTACATTCTGTCTTTACCGTTATCTCATCTTTATCCTCACCTTTATCTTTGCTTTATAAACATATTTACCCTTAACTCTAGCCATTCCTGTTCTAGTTCATTTCTTAAACTTAAAATACAGCCCAACTCTGGACTTCTTTTCTTCTTCATAAGTATGTAGCTTATTTCTCTCTATCCCTGCTTTATCTTTACTTGTTATTTTCAGCTTGGCAGCTCCAAAGCCCTGCTCTGAATAATTTATATTGAAGGATAATTTGGCTGCAAATGTTTGGAAAATAACTCATGTGAATTTATATATAATTAATTTTCTGTACTGCAACAGTAATAAAAATAGGGATATAGTATTCTGATTGTTGGTGGACTTAGTGTATGGCAACCAGAGTTAAGGCAGCTACAGTTTTGAGGCTTTCTTAACAGAAGAGTAAATGAGTACTATCTGTAAAGTGTAAAAAGAATGACTTTGAGGAAATGGCCTCCTAATGTAAGAAAAACCAAAAATTTAAACCAGGAATGACTTGCCTAAAAGCCTATACTGTAATTTGTTCAGAACAGCTACTATTTGTGGAGTTTTTCTTCAAAGTTTACTGAGAAACTGAAAAGAAGTTCTAATGTTGTCTGTAGGGACATTTTTGTGACAATATAGTAGTATTTGTCACAGAATGGAGGTGAGAAGATTTTATGAGATGTTATAAAAAGTTAACATTTGGTTCTTCTATATGAGAACTGATTGCTTATGTACTAGGTTGCAAAGAAGTCTCCCCCCCCCCATTGCAAAGTACATGGTATTCTCATTTAATTCTTTGGTATGTGAACATTCAGTAGTGTTACTTTACAATGGATAAAGAAATCTTTACCATTTGATTTCTTTGTAGCTGATTCACACTTTCTGACCAGTTGCTATTTACTGATGTGGATGTTCATTTTAGCTGATGGTCATGTGTTTGCCACATGATTCTTAGAATGCTCTCTGGGCTTAGGTTGATTTTGCAATGTTGCTGCATTGCAGTGAAACACTTCTAAGAAATGAAAAGAAGAAATGTAGAAGCAACACCAAATGATTACTGATGATTTTTTTCTTATTAAGGACTTTTGATTGCTCAATAACTTTTCTCATCATCCACCCTATAGCTTAAAGGCTGAGTATTATCAAATCTTGTTCTACTGTTTCCAGGCAACATTAGCAGTGGCACTTTGGAACAGCAAGTCTAATTTTATCATGAGTTAAAGTTGCATGTGGTGAGAACTAGGGCATGAAGATTAAGTGTGTGCTTGTTTTTAACATCCAAAACAAATAATATAATAATAATAACAGTAACAGCGTTGGGACCTTGGAGGTTTGATATCATACCTGTGTTATAGCTTAACAAATTAAAACTATAGCTTTCTTAGTTATATAGGATTCTGTACATTTTAAACTCTGAAAATTTAATAATTTTCTGGAAATTCCCAAATGAAATAATTGAGTAACATCAAAGATTGACCTTTTAATAGGACCCTAATCCATAATAAATATAGGGGGCATTTTCTTATCTATTGGATTGGAATCAGATTATGTTGGTATGACTGTGATATTTCTGAAGAATAAACCAAGAGGTGATGCTAGTGGCACTTGTGTTGTCCCACTGGCTTTTTAGGATTCCATCTTGCCCTCGGCACTTTGAATATCTGTATGAAACTTTTGAGAAATACCTTTTACAGGTTTGGACTAGAATATTGTTTTAAAATCATGAACATGAGAGATTGAGTTGAAACTTAAATTAAAATAAAATAGTGCATAGATACTGATTGTAAGAGAAGCTGATTTGTGGGAGATGTGCAACCATTTCTGGATTGGATTGTATTCCTTCTGGAATATTACATTTGATGATCCTGGATTCAGTGCACAGCAAGCAACCAAACCAAGGTTCCATAATAATTTTCAAATTTTACTGATAAGCCTGCAAAAATTTTTAAAGTTAATACTTTTAAATTTAATGCTTCAGTTTAGTAAAAGAGCAGAACAGCATTAGATTTAATGCTTCAGTTATTTATAGCACAGAAAAGTACTAGAATGCAGTTGTAATTATTAAAATCAACCTGTAATTTACATCTGTGGCAACTTCATTGATTTCCTTTATGAAGTAGCACTAAGTTGTATTAATTAAAAATATTAACCATTTTATCTTGCAGTAGTGAAGTAAAATGTAAAATATGTATCTGTTTTGGATAGGTAAAGTGTTGAAAAGTAACTAATTCAAATAAAGAATTCTGTTAATAAGGATGCATTTTAGCCAAGGTATTTGTTTGACATAGCTTGGTTTTGGAAACTGTGCAGAATTGGCTCATCTGATTAGAACCTGGATTGGCAATTTACAAAGAATACCAAGGATATAAGCGAGATTGGAAAGTTGAAAAAGCATCCTGAAAGGCAGTGGCAAATTATTGCTGTATTACTGCTAAAACAAATACAGTAGTGGAAGTTTGTAAACCCTTTAGAAATTATTCATAATCCTAAACTACTTGATTTACAATGTAACTGGAGTTTCATCTCACCTATTAATAGATAGCGAGCTTCTGGTTAAACAAAGCACAAGCCAATATACTGTGTCATGTCTTTATTGAACACTGTGCCACCATTCTCTTAATGGGTTACATTGAGTTAGATGAGCCAAAGGATGATAATCACATGTGAGTTTGAGGTGGGGGTCCTTCTCTTAACACAGACAAGTTGATTGCTAGATTGAGTCTGCTTTTCAGGACACAATTAATGGAATTGAATCTTGCCCTAATCAGATGAGATCTCTCTGAACTCTGAAAAGGATTATCAGTGCTCAGGAAACTGTACTATGAATTATGAAATCTTTTATGAGCAATTTGCTCATGCCATGGTCAGACACATAGTATACAAATGGAGAAATATAATAACATTGTTACCCTCTTCCCAGATGTAGTTGTCAAAAAAATCCCCAAGGATTCCAAGAATAAAGTATACAATACTCTGTGAGGTTGCAAGGTTATGGATTCTGATTTGGACCAATACATTCTAGAGAACATCAGTTTAGCCAGCCATGAGTTGAATGTGAATGATGCGGTACATCAGTGGTCCTAGATATACATTTACAGCAGAGTCACTGAACTAGAAAAAGTTCACATTTTTGAATGGCCAAATCTAAGGCCTCAATTTAAATCTATTGAAGTGTTGTGACCTGAAGTAATCAGCGTGCAAGATGGCTCCAAAATATCTGAATTGAAGCAGTTTGTAAAAAGAATAGACTTCAAATAGCATTGATCAATACATACAAAAGACCTTTGGATGAGGTATTTGCTGCTAAAGGAGATGCCAAAATTAAAGTAATCTTCACATTATTTCTCCAACAAAAACAGTGATTATTAGTTCAATATATACAATGAAAAAAATGACAAAATACATTGTTTTTGAAGTTTGTATAATGAGAATCTCTTTAATTAGTAATAGAATTCAGATGAAACTCAGATCCACTGTAGGTTACAGTACTAGGATTATAGTCGCCAAGCATCTAAAATTCGATTATGTGACCACAGGGATGCTGCACCAGTCGTGTGAAAAATGGCCTTAAGTTACTTTTTCAGTGTTGTTGTAATTTTGAATAGTCACTAAATAAAAGTTGTAAGTTGAGTACTACTTGTAATTTAACTTGGCTGTGAATTCAATAAGGAGTCAATGAAAAACCCTCTAGTACAGGGGTGTTAAACTCAAGGCCCGGGGGCCGGATCCGGCCCGCAGGGTGCTTAGATCTGGCCCGCAGGCCTGCCCTACAAACAACTAAGGACCAGCCTGCAGTGCCTCTGCCAGTGGCCCTCCCGAGCTCCCTTTTCACTGGCAGAGGGTTGCAGGAGGCAGTCACGGCCCAAAACGGAGCCTTGATGACTGACATTGAGTTGGCTATGCCCCCGTGGCCCCGACCCCCCTGGCTCCCTGAGGTCAAACACAACCCTGATGCGGTCCTCAATAAAATCGAGTTTGACACCCCTGCTCTAGTATATAAAAAATTAGAATACCATGAAAGGTTCAGAACATCTTGAAAAATCCTTGGACTGAGATACAGTTCCTGGCAGAAAAGTATTGTAGTAATATAGGCATGAAACAACTAAGGCATTTATTCACCAATAAAATCACAGGCTCCTCTGTCAGAAATGTCTATCAGAAAACAAATGTGAGTTTTTTATTCACTCCACTCCTGTAAATGTTTCTTGAGATTTTTCTGTAAGAGTTACCTTGCAGTAAGATGGATGGCTATAAATTTTATAAATAAATAAGTCTACATAGGGAACTATAGCATTTTAATGTGTATATGAAAAACATTTTTTCAACTTTGTCTTAGATTGTACATCTTATTTAGAAAATCAGTCTGATAAATGCCTTGTGCATTTGAAAAGTTAAACCTTTTTCAGAATCAAATTATTCTATTAGATATTGATATGCAGGCTGTCAAAATACTAAATTTGTAAAGCGAGCCAGGCTGCAAGATGAACTAGACAACTTAATTGTTCTAAGGAAGTCTTGGTGTTGCAATAGATGTCCAACTTTTTATAAATTTTTCAACTTCAACGTTTTAAATAACATACCTTTTTAGCACTGAAAAAATGAAAAATGGTTTGATTTCAAAAATGCATCACTAATATTTGTCAACTGCTATGTATTTATGATGGGATGTTTTAAAAGATTATTTGCAGTCCAGAGTTCATTGCTGACAAAGGGAGCTATACAAATTAGTACTGATGACCATAAGTTACCTGAAGATTTCATTTAATACAATGCACAGGACTTAAATTATTTCCAGCATAATCAAAAGAGAGAGAGTACAGTACAGAATTCTATGGGAATCTTTTTGCTGTTCTCTTATCTTCATGAACTTTAATCCCAAACCAATCCCATTGAGAACTTTAAACCATGTATTAGAAAGTGTTTTCCGTAAAGTTGTAACATGATTTATTTTCAGAGCTTTTCAGACAGTTACAGAAACATGAAAGTCTTAGCATAGCTGATGCTATTCTTTCCATAATGTTTAGATGTCTCGCTCATAGCTCCTTACTGTGACTGTTACACCAAAACCCGCAAACATTTGCATACTTTGTATGATACCTTTGGTCTATTTATGGTAATAGGTAGTGATAGATGGGAACATATGAGTAAAAAGCAGAATATTGAATCAGCTGAATAGTGCCAAAGGGATTGGGAAAAGTCTCAGTAATAAATATTGATGATTTGTAATTTGAATATTTTAACATTCTATTTGGATTGAGAAAATTGTACAAAAGAATCTCATCTACTTGTTTCAAGTACTCTAAAATTAATTTCCTGTGAGAGCATATAATTATGACTGAGATAAATTTAATGTTGTTCTGTAAGTTTGAAATCTCAGAATCATTAGTATTAAAACTGCTTAAATTTAAATAAAGATACAAAATTTCTTCTGAAAATTATTTCATTACTTGTTATGTCAGAACTTTCCTTGTAGTGAAATGCAAAGATCAGGAGTTCAATTTAAAGTCCTTCCACTATTGGTGACTTCTCTATTCAGATGCCAGGGCATCTGGAGACGGGTCTTGGAGGATAATGGTATTAAGCTAATTGTATGCTTGATTTACCACAAAAGACCATTACTTAAGAATTCTATTTGGAAACAAATGGAAGTCAGTGGAAGTTATGTAATACGGGCAGGATGTTCTGTCTGGTCCCAGTCAGCAATCTGGGAGCTTTATCTTAGACCAACTTAAGTTCTAAACTGGTTCCAAAGAAATGCTATGTATACTGCACTCTGTTGCCAAACTGTTTATGATGGTGATAATACTGCTAATGCCAATTTTAAGAGAGAAGGAAAGAAGGGATAAGAATAGGCTGATTTGTTTGCCTCTTCACTGGTAAGTGTATTGTTTAAAGAATCCCACACATGAGCTTATTATCAAAAGTAGTTCCATCTTCTGTGGAATGGGTTTTATTAAAGATTGTTTCTTTCCAGATCCCTTATTCAAGGCAGATTGCAAGAGTCCAGCAAAGACTGGAGGAACAGTTATTTCTTACCAGCAGAATTCTCTATCAGAAAGTACCAATTACTGTATTGACTAATTGATCTAGAAAGATAACAAAACTGAAGATTTGTAATAGTTTTATCATTTTCTAATTTTCATCACAATTTAGTTTCCAGGTAGCCACAGAATTTAGATTTAAATTTGGGTTTCATTATAAAATCCATTTATATAATTCCTAGCATATCTTGACAGGAAGAAAATTGACAATTTCAATAAAGATAAAACAAAATAATATGTTATATAAATAAATAGCTTTAATCCATCATAATATTGTATGTATAATTGTGGTTTTCTCTTTGCAGTGATTATTTATTCAAGCTACTCCTTATTGGAGATTCTGGTGTGGGAAAATCTTGCCTGCTACTTAGGTTTGCAGTAAGTTGTCTTGCGTTCTCATCTTTGGATTAATAATAACAAATGGTATTAATATCTAGGTGTTTTAGCCTGCATAATGTTTATACTTGCTAAGTATTTGTGAAATAAAATTTCAATTAGCAAAAAAAGTTAGAAGAAATGCTAATCTTGTGGGTGCATTCATAAGACATGGAGTTAATCCTTTACAAAACTAAAAGCCCTTAAGCACATTAAAAAGTTTAGAGTTATTAAGTTGGAAATATGGCTAAATTTGGGGGTATTGAATTTTGCTGGTCATGTAATTGGATGAGGCCAGGTTGTATGCTAAGCCAAACTAACAGCAATTAAAAAATAAATTCTGCATTTCATGCTCTGCCCTTTACTACAGTGTGACTTATTGAATCATTACATGTCTTTCCATGTCTATCTACAGATAGTCCTCGACTTACAACCATTTGTTTGTAATTGTTCAAAGTTACAATGACACTGAAAAAAGTGACTCATGACCGTTTTTCACATTTACAACTGTTGCAGCATCATGTGATCAAAATTCAGGCACTTGGCAACTGGTTCATATTTGTGACGGTTGCAGTGTCCTGGGGTCATGTGATCACCATTTGCAACTTTCTGACAAGCCAATGGGGAAGCCAGATTCACTTAACAATTTCAATGATTCACTTAACAGCTATGGAAGAAAGGCCGTAAAATGGAGCAAAACTCTAATCCTGTAATTGGTAATGTTTGTGTGGTACACTAAACATATAAATGGCTTGGATTGTATTAATCGTTAGCTTAAAGTAAGCTACTCTCAACAAGCAAGAGAAAGCAGCTCTAATTTGTTCTTTCTCTGGCTCCAAAATTGACTTTTACAATTCAGGTAGTCTTTAGCCTATGGATTTTCAAGTGACTTTTGCAAGTCACTTGAAAAAGTGACTTGCAGAAAAGCATACTCACACTTACAGCCATTGCATCACCCCTATGGTCATGTGACTTCAATTCAGGTACTTGGCAACTGGCTTGCATCTACGATCGATTGCAGCAACCTGTGGTCATGTGATCATGGTTTAATGGTTTCCCCATTGGGGAAGCTGGATTTGCTTAACAACTGCATGATTTGCATAACAACCACTGTACAAGTTATCATAAAATCAGGCCTGATTCAATTTACAATCACAACTACTTACAACAGAAATCCCAGTCCCAATTGTGATCATAATTTGAGGACTAACTGTACTATCAATTAATGGCAGCCAGTTTGATAATGTTCACTGAACCTTCCCATCATCATCTGAGTAGTCTCAACTAGAAGCTGTTCATTTTGTTGCTAAACATCTAGCAAACTTATCCATCATGGTTTTAGTTTAATCAAGTATTTGTTTATTCTGAGACAAGTTTTTCCTTTTCCTGTGGTGGTGATGCTTTGGAATACAGTATTACTAATGATTCTAAAAATGTTTCCTCTTTCTAGGATGACACGTATACAGAAAGCTATATCAGCACAATTGGGGTGGATTTCAAAATCAGAACTATAGAGTTAGATGGCAAAACTATAAAGCTTCAGATAGTAAGTATTATCCATTGTAAATCTCAGAAGATGCACTATCTAGGGCATTGTAAGCTTCATAGGGCAATTATGCCATTAGAAGATCTGCACTGTGGCCAATTCCAAATTGTCAAGCAGCAGCAAATGTGAATTGGTTTATATGTTAAGCATATATAACAAGTGTTGCTCTGTATTTTGTAGCTTGAAGGTACTTTGTGGCAACCTTACCAAAACGTTCCTATTGACTGAAGGTATACCCAGGATATGCCAGAACAAAAAAATTCCATTTGTTGACAAATGAAATCTGGTTCCAACAGAGCCTCCTTGGAGGTAGTAATGCAGAATTCAAAATGCAGGTGGCTAAACCAGCTGCCTTTTCAGAAATGAGAATTGTGTGGAATGCTTGCCCTGAAACATCAGAATTAATTTCTATTTAAAAGTTTAAAAAAGGTGGCAAGAAATGACCTTTTACTGGTGCCTCCCGGTAATCCCATGACCTTAACATTAAATCCCCAACAGCGTTTTATAGTTGATTTCAGTGAAATGGATTCTGCTTCATTGTTTCAGGTATTTTATTTCATCTGATCTTTGGTAGGTATTTCAGAATAGTTAGTTGACTAGAAGTATTACCAAAGTTTTTTAATTTGTCCGATTAAGAGCCCTGATGGTGCAAGTGGTTAGAATGCAGTATTGCAGGCTAATTCTGTTCACTGCCAACTACCAGCAGTTTGACAGTTCGAGTCTCACCAGCTCAAGGTCAACTCAGCCTTCCATCCTTCCGAGGTCGGTAAAATGACCCAGATTATTGAGGGCAATATGCTGACTCTGTATACTCGTAGAGAGACTGTAAACACTGTGAGGAGGTATAGAAGTCTTATTGCTATTGCTATCAGATCAGAACGGGTGCAGTGTTCTAAGCACTATTCAACTTTTTTTTTCATAGTGGGATACAGCAGGACAAGAGAGATTTCGAACAATTACTTCTAGTTACTACAGAGGAGCTCATGGCATCATAGTTGTGTATGATGTTACAGATCAGGTAAGTATTTGTTAGTTGGGCATTTGAAGGAATTGAATGAGCATGTCATAGGGAAGTGGAACTTTGTATATAGCAGCAATTAGGTGAAGAGATGATTGAATTCAGTGGTGACGGTACATCCTCTCACTTTTGAGTCATAGTTTTCCTTGTAAAATGTTGCGTTTTAAATCATCTCACCACCCCTATTTCTGACCCCTATCACAAATTATTTTTAAATTTATGGTGTATCTTTGCATAAAAGAAGACTCTTGAGGCACAGAGAAATCTTCCTTAATTCAAGCCAGATATTCCTGATTTGTAAAGCAAACGAGAGAGATGGGCACTATTGGGATTATATTTAAAATGCAATGGGATTTGTCTTAGAATCCAAATGCGCTATATTAAATGGCCGAGCTTAGATTTAATATATTCTTTTATTTTTTAGGAGTCGTTCAATAATGTAAAACAGTGGCTTCAAGAAATAGATCGTTATGCCAGTGAAAATGTTAACAAGTTGTTGGTAGGAAACAAGTGTGATCTGACTACAAAGAAAGTCGTAGATTATACAACAGCGAAGGTATGCCTATCTTTTAAACAACTTTAATCTTCAAAAACAGAAAAGTATTGTTGAATCCATTGCAGTATTTATAAACTAAGAGTTGTATAATGCTGAGAATGAGTGTGGTATAGTGGTTAAGACATTTAATTAAGCATGGGAAGTCCACATTCAAGTCTGTATTTACTAGTGGAACTTCATTGGTTGAATTTGGGGTAGTCACTATTTCTTAGCCTAGCTTCTTGACAAGGTTGTCAGCATAAACTTGGAAGATGAGGACTGAATATCCCACCCTGAATTTCTGAAGGACAGTCTATATGAAAAGCAAACTAATAATAGTTAAATGTGAGGTTGTATAAAAGTGCTTTTGATGCTTCCTCTTCATAATTAGCTAGAGAGCAATATATTCTTTTCCAAATCTGGGTAATAGAACTAATAGTGATGTCTTTATTCTACAGGAATTTGCAGATTCTCTTGGGATTCCATTTTTGGAAACCAGTGCAAAAAATGCAACCAATGTAGAACAATCTTTCATGACCATGGCTGCGGAGATCAAAAAACGAATGGGTCCTGGAGCGACAGCAGGTGGCGCAGAGAAATCCAATGTTAAAATTCAGAGCACTCCAGTCAAGCAGTCCAGCGGAGGTTGCTGTTAAAACTTTCCTTCCCAGCTCTTTCTCAACAATGAATTTGAAATCTGAACCCAACTGAAAAAAATGCCTGAATTGTACTGTATGTAGCTGCACTACAACAGAATCTTATCGTCTCCACAAAGGTCAGAGATTGTAAATGGTCAATACTGACTTTTTTATTCCCCGATCTCAATAAAGCTAACTTCATTTTCAGAAATGTGTTAAACCTCTTGTGTGCTGGTTTATAAATGCGTGTAATCTTTGTTACTTTTTCTTATACCAGATTGTTTCCTGTGGTTGGCTAAATTTTGAACATTATTTTGTTCTGATCATATTGGCACATTTAGATGTCGGGTTTAGGCTTCTGAAGATGAAGTTTAGTCTTTGTTTTTGTATTCCACAGCACAATTGTGGCTGTCACTTTTCCATGCACAAAGTTCATAAGGCATTCTGTATAAAATCTAATTTACTAGTTCCATGTAGAGCTCTAAGGAAATGGAAAGAACACACACTACCTGGGATCAGCACTAAATAACGGTGTGCAGCCAAAGCAGGTTTGGACTCTTGAGCAGCACCTCCTTGGCAACCCCTTTTGAAATAGCAGGGCATTTCACTAAGGGGAGGGGGATTGCCATTCAAAAGAAAGTTGCAATCCCATAATAGGTCTTTGGATCACAGATGCTGATTTTTCTTTATACTCTGCATATAATTTGTGGCTGCAGACTCTTGTAATTTGTTGCACAAAATGTAACAAACTGAAGAAATGTTTAATAAATATTGTACTTATTGGAAGTAATATCAAACTGTATGGTGATAAATATTGTCTTAATTCTTATGAATAAGGGGAAAGGCTTGCATTGTGCCCCAGTGAACTTTTTCTGTGCAGTATTGGCACTTTAAAATCACTTCCTTATAGACTATACCTGCCCAGCCCAGCAAATGACTAGCAAATATGACCTACATGACAAAGTGTCGTGTGTTTCTGGCATGTGCGCTGTACTTGGAACACAACTTATACCATTGTTTATAGAACCATAATCACTCTAGATGTACCATTTCTTTCCCTTTGCATCCTAATTGTGTTTGAATCTATTTCTGAATGGTTCCATTTAGAAATTATTTGTCTCTTGCTCTGTCATAGAAAAGGAAACAGTATTTTTCCTAAAGTATGAATGACTTCAAGCTAACAAGGTGATGTTAACTCTAATGATATGTTATGTCTTTTCTAAATAATGTTACTTCCATTCTCTCACAATCAATACTGTTGACTTTAATAAAATTTTGTGCAATTTATTGGTCGGCTTGGTTATGCACTAAGGCACAAGAAAATTACAGTGAAAAAAAAGCATAGTAATAGGCAGCTGACCAAAAGACAAATAATACATTTGTGCAGGGAGGAAACATTTAAATACATGTGAATTTGAGCAAAAATGTGGCTTGGTTATTGCTTTAGTGACCATATGTATAACTTTTGTATAAAGAAACTAATCCATTAGTGCCTGATATCTGGGTTTTAAAGTTACCAACTTGATAAAAGAATATCTTATTTACAAAATAATTTGAAAGAGTCATTGACACTTTTTGTAAGCAAACACTCAGATGTGGTTGAGAGGCAAATGTATTAGCAAATCTCTGAGAAAATTTCATCCCCACTATGGGATAGACATTAGTGATCTGCAACTGGAACACACAATACCTTAATTCTTCATAGTACTGTTGTTAGAAGATTGAAATTATTGAATTTCTGAATTTGCTCTTTAACTTCAACAATAAAGTGTACTTCAGAATAAGAAATGTTTAATCAGTTGATTCATAATATGCTTTTAGTATTGTATCAATTCATAAAGAAATGTTACATAGAAGAAAATCAGCTACAATATTTAAATGATGATTTGGGGTCATTCTGAAAGTGCTGAAGCTCTTGGCAATAATAAACTCTAAATGTTATAACTGAGCACACTTTTTTAAAAAAATAAAGTGTACTGTTCTGACCTTCAGAAGATGCTTAGAATACTAATGAATACATATTTCAATACTTTTGTTTGCTAGACTATATCCGTGCTTTTTAAAAAATAATAGCTTAACATTCTGAACAAAGTGACATATATTTTTTTCCCCCATTTGGCGCGTCAGTTCTAGTATGTTTTTAAATCTGGGAAGCAGCCTACAAAAGGCAACAGATTTGGGAAAGAGTAAATCTGATTTGTAAACGTCTGAAAATATTTGAGTTCTAGGTTTTCATGTATTGTGGAGTAAGTTTTCATGACCTCTTGGCCCTAATGTGAGCAAATTATACTTGAGGGCACACCCAAATTCCATTGTTTTGGTCTTCTAGAGTCTCCTTCCAATTATTACAGCTAAACCCTGCCATTTAGAAGTAGGAAACAAATATAAATCCCAAAACAGGCATACAAGTATATTTTTAAAATGTCTAAAATCCAGCCTTACATGTGAGATGTGTTTTCATAACCCTATGGTTTTCTGTCCCACTTCCCTTGGCTACCACTATCACGGAACTGTAAAAATTCAATCTAAACTATATATGGAATCAATCTCAGCTTTTGAACTACATGTTGAAATACCACTGTTGCAAATTAGAACAGTAACTTAGTGCCTTAGATTGTATCAGTCACTAGCAGTTTCCAAAAATGCATTAATTCAAAGTAAATTTTGTGGAAAAGCCGATTTATGCTGCAGTATCTATGTCATCCAGATATGTCATAGCAACACTGACAGTGCAGCTCTTATCTGAGGAGATGCACTTAAGAGCATGCAAAGGTATTTTATAGGCTACTTGCACATCATGCTAGGCTAAAATGTGAAATCAGTATGTATGCAAACTCAGGGTACTAGATTAATTTAGTAAACTCTCACTCAGGTTTACCTGTATGAACAAGGCTAAGAGATCTGATACTATGTAGTCACTTTGTGGTGAGATGGGTGGCAAACAAATGTAATAAATAATTTTTTCACCTACCCCTTTAAAAAATTAATTTCTTGTTTCCAGTGGAAAGGAAAGTTGAACATCTTAAGAAGGAAACATTATCTTTAGCCTATCAATTGCTCTTGATAGATACGGCTTGGAAATTGCAGTTTCAAAAGTTGGGTTTTGATTGTGAATATGGTAAGCATTATTATTAGCCAATTGTAAAGAATAGGAAGAGTTTTATCTCTGAGTGCACAGAATTCTTTTTTACGCTCTAATATGGATTCAGGATTATGGGCAATTAGGAGCTAGCATCCTTAACTACAAAGTTTATGGAGGCAGCAAAAGAAGATATATGCAAGTCTACTCATGCTACAATATTAAATTAAGGTTTTCTGTTACAAGATGAGTCTCTTGTATTCTATAATGAAAACAGAGAACCAACCTTCATCCAGGAATTTACAACTAAAGTATTTATCAATTGCACCAAAAAGTTCTATTACAATCTAATGGTTGGTAAGTAAAGATGAATAGTGCCTGAAGCTTTCAAAAATTTTATAATTTCTTTAGCATGAATCTTGCACAAATACCATACTAGTCATGTAATTGCAGCTTTAACGGATGATTATTTAACTGTTACTGAATTCACTTACCTCCAGCGCATGTTTTAAAATAATAAAAGTTGCTTTATTTGAAATATAGTTTCCATATAATTTGTCACATGAGATAAAATGAAGACTTACAATTATTCACTGAAAAAAATACAACACAAATAATAGGGCTATACATTTTTCAATTATTATTTGGAAGCACTTTGGATCTCCCATAAAAAAGTATTTTGGCTGTTTTATACAACAGCCTCTATTTTGTTTCAGGCAGCAACACAAACCTGAAAATGAAGGGTTGCTGCTTTAAGAAGTCCATTCATGATCTGACTTTCAAACCAACTGCAACCTTTTTTTGAGGCTCAAATGGAATTTGTGTCTCACATAAACATTTCTGAATAATTTCTGAAGCACGTAGAGCTCTGGCAAATAGATACCCATATTAGAAATGCATCATTAAATCTTCTGTCACTCCAACATCAGAAGTTTCCCTTCCACACTGTTCTTGAACATTTTGTTGCCAGATATAAAGCTCATTGTTGTACCTTCTGAACTTGGAAACCAAGCTTGATGTCAATGCAGCACATCAAAACTTAGAAGGAAAAGTTCTTGTTTCTTGATTAGGGAGCCTCCAGCATACTATTTATGGATGTAGTTAGTTCATTCTTCCACATCAATAGAAGTTTTATCTGAAATAAAATCATAAACAGCCATTCTATTTCTATTCTTCACATATTTTGAATAGAAATTACTGAGCATCACATAATAACTATATTATCTGAAATGGAGCATATTATTCAAATTAGTCTTATACCCCACATAAATAAAGGGATACTAAATTTTAAAAAAACTTAAAATGCTGATGCAGCATTTTAAAAGTAATATGGGTAGTCCTGGATTTACAACCATTTGTTTAGTGACCGTTTTAAGTTACAATGGTGAAATGACTGTTTCTCGCACAACAGTTGCAATATCCCCATAGTCACATGTTCAAAATTTGAATGCCTGGCAACTGGGAGAGCCAATTTGGTCTAGTAGTTAAGGCACAGGCTAGAAAGCAGGAGACTGTGAGTTCAAGTCCCGCCTTAGCCATGAAAGCCAGCTGAGTGACTTTGGGTCAGTCTTGCAATCCAACTCATCTCATAGGATTATTGTTATGGAGAAAATAGGAGGATGAGGATGTGTTGGTTATATTTGCTGCCTTGAATTATGTTTGAATCAACCTTGAGCCAATGAGGTTCGAACTGCTGGCAGTCAGCAGAATTAACCTGCAATACTGCATTCTAACCATTGCACCACCACGGCTCCTACTGTAATAACTATAAAAATTCACTTAACAAATGGGGCAAGAAAGGTCGTAAAATGAGGTAAAAGTCATTTAACAACTGTCTTGCTTAATAATGTAAATTTTAGGCTCAGTTGTGGTTGTAGGTTGAGGACAACCTGTACTATACTGTATATATAAATATATAATCTTATATTTACTTATGAAAAACCCTGCTTATCCTACATTGTATTATATAAATCCAGAAAATAAGAAAAAAAAACATCCAAAGAGCAGGGCAAGATAAAAGAATTAAAAAATAAAGGAATACAGAGAAAGCCAGTCATTCATTATTCTTAAATCACTTCATTCTTCTTTTTCTGTGAAATGTTGAGTATTCTTTCTAATGCTGAAACTTGCCAGAAACAGATGTACCGTATTTTTTGGAGTATAAGACGCACCTTTTTCCCTACTAAAAGAGGCTGAAAATTTGGGTGCGTCTTATACTCAGATTGTAGCTTTTTCGAAGATTTTTTTCAGCCCTAATGAGGCGCTAGTGAGTGAAGCGATCTCCCCAATCTCCCCGTGCTTTGCCAGCTTTTCTCATTGGTGCTTCCTCTCAGCTGTGCCTTAGAAGCTATTTTTTATCCCCAAGCAGGAGATAAAAACCAGCAAACTAATGTGCTGAAGCTGACCAGATTAAGGACACTAGCCAGATGAATACCTGGTAGGCAGATTTTTTTTCCTATTTTCCTCCCCAAAAACTAAGCTGTGTCTTATACTCCGATGTGTCTTATACTCCAAAAAATACGGTAGTTGCCTAGTTCACTCTCACCAGACAAATGGCATTCTTAGCCACTTTGGCCAAAGCCACACAGGCTGTGCATTTTGGAGAGTGGTTTTACTGTGGAGCCCCTGGTGCTCTCTGAGCTTATTTGTTTGTTTGCAGAATTTCAATTCCTGACAAGGTAACATCCTAAGTGCTAGTGAGGGTGGGGGTTTGCTCCCTGTTTATATACAGTAGTTTTCTCTTTCTTTGTCAGTGTCAGTGGGGGTGTGTGATTAGAATACACTTTTCTGCTTGATTGTCTAGTGTTAATCCCTGCCTATCCGGATGTTGGCTGCTGGAGAGGATGTGTGTCTAGTCTTTTTGTTTGCCTTAAGAGTTTTTGTTTTGTTTCACCATTTCTGGAGGAACAAGATTCAGGAAGGCAATCCTAAATCTTTTATCTGATTCACTTGGTTAAAGGAGTTGAGGACAGAAATGATGTTTTGCTAGTTCACAAGATAGAAAATTCTACATGGCCTAAGCATGAGATCCAGAAAGATATGCTTCAACAAAAAAAAAAAAATGTATTATTTAATATCCACCCTTCTCAGCATCCTTTCCTTCTTGCTTACTCAGATGTATCTTTGTGGACCGCAGTTTCTTGAACATCGCATTGCTTCCTCAAGCCTTCATCAAGAGTATATATGGCTGCTAAAATAGATTCATAAAATCGTTCAGCATGGCTTTTAAGCATATCCGAATGTTTTGCAATCAAGCCAAGAGTTTTCTGTAAAACTATTAAGCAAAGAGTAGGATACAAATTATATCATGCAACAGCTGAGTAGCAGGATATAAGCAAGCTTTTCTAAATGCTTATGCTAGGGTTACAAGAGCTTAAGTGCTACAGAATCTGGCTCCTTTGTTTAACCATGTACTGATGAGAAGCAGCAAATATTCTGCCTCTTTCCTATACCTTTACAACAGGACAGGTCTGGTCTGAACATTAAGTCATAATGTGTTTTCTCTCAACTTCATCTGATGTGTGAAGATAACCAGCTTACTCTCTCTTAAAGACTATTTAAGATAACATTACAAGGAAGGGGGGAAAGAAACTTAAGCTGTTTGAAAAAAAATGGAATATCAAAATAACTTAATAAATGTGTGCTACAATGTACGGGTTAAACTATAATGGCTACAAATACTTTAATGTTCTGCAATTTAACCGTTTAC